TAATCATTACCAGTTACGTGTGTCACGTGACCACGTTAACCACGACGGCACGGTCAATATTCTATGACCTATCTGTCTATACCTAATATAGTAAAAGCGACGTTATTTTTAAAATGACTCCTTATGCAACCGCCGATATATAAAAGGAGTATTATAGGTTCGAAGTGAATCGGTTTGTCGATCCCTGGCATTGTAGCTCCTAAAGTTATTGAACAAATAGACCTATGCTGTTTTTCTTTTCAAAGACGACGTGATGGATCTTAGCTACAATTTATGAAATTGTGTACAGAATTTCATAAATTGTAGCTAAGATCCATCACGATTCAATGTCTTCACCTTTTAACTATCTATCTATTATCATCTATTTATAGCTTGACCACTTGCATAAACACGTACGTAGGTATGAATTACATACCTACACAGTGAATATTCAATGTTTATCTTATGAAGTGAAATTGCAAATCATTTTCGAATTGTATCCAAGCCTGATTGATAAACCGATAAGTTTTACATCGAAGAAACTGTATAATCACGATAAGATATGATTTTTTAAGCTACGCCAAGTAAATAGATGATGAATGAAGGAAGAATGCATGTCTATGATGATGATCATGATATACTGTTAATTACAATTTATAATGTAAATAAAAAATATGTACAAACAGTCAAGATTTCGCGGAAATCAAACCCTGTAAGGATGTGATTTCCGCGAAATCTTAGCCAAAACTGAACTTCATATGATTCTCCAAGATAAGTAAATGTTTATTTATAAATTCGTCACATAAAACCACTTCAAGGTTAAGAGATATTACTGTGACAGGTATACGTAAATGAAGAAATTTATACTAATGTATGTGCTAATATTAATGCATGAAATTTATATAGTTACCATTGTAAACAATGACTATAAATAAATACCTCAGTGTACAGTTTTGCCCGATAGAACAAAACATCACCCAATATACCAATGGTAGCGAAAATAAACAAAATAATGTACTAAATTACTACTCTCGACGTCATGGCCTAGTGGATGTCTCGACGTCATGACTACGTCTATATAAATCCAAACTTAGTGAATTGTAAGGAGAATTTACCTCATCTAGATTTTATGATTCACAAGATTTACGATGGCACACCCCATTAACATGACGTAAATTATTGATAGCCCCTTATTTGAAAATTCTTAATGTTTTCCTCACAGAAGTCAAACAAACACTTACATAGGTACACTATCCTTACTCCTTACTTTATACTTAATATTATAAATGCGAAAGTAACTCTGTCTGTCTGTCTGTCTCGCTTTCACGCCAAAACTACTGAACCGATTTAAATGAAATTTGGTACGCAGATAGTCTAGACGCCAAGTAAGGACATAGGCTACTTTTTAATGAGAAAAAAGGGTTGTAAGGGGTTCAAAATGGAAATACAAGGTTATCTTTATGCGGTTGAATACATCGCACACTTATATTCTATATTAATAATTTCGTTAAGGGGTACAGTAGACTAGAACGAAACCTTATGTGAATAACAAAACATAAAAAAATATTGATTTCGAATCGACAACATATATCCGGAAAATTCGGATTATGGAGTATTTCGTTAAGTTCTAATGGCACTGACAAACAAACCGCAGTTGCCATCTTTTCATTTCACTAGCTAACAACCAATCAACACATCGCGTGCGTTTGCGCCAATAAGGTATCCATCACAAAGAACAAAACCACAGATAACATAATGTAAAACGAAAGATCTTGCCGGAATGACGTTGACGTTTAGCGAAAATATTGTTTTTTGACATTTTTTTATGATAAAATCGGGTATCGTATATCTTGTGTATGTGTTTTTTCTTTAAACCTGAAATTGGCCGATTGCGAGACAAATTTGGCAATTTTTTTATTAATTTGTTTTACGGCTCTGGATACAAGTCCTTTTTAGCCCAACTTAAAGTTTTACAATATAAATTACAAAAATTAAAGTCAATGTGCAATGTCAAATAATAATAAATGTCAAATGTTGTTTCTCTGTTCTGACGAACTTATTGAAAAAAAACTTAATAACAGTCACAATATCTTCACATTTTATTATTTGCATTTTTTAAATAATGTTGTGGTGTGGCACTCTCCGAAATTAAATTATTTACCCATTTTTGTAGATTATACAGAAATAATGTATGGGTGTTTATTTAAAAAGCATTAACACAAAATTAATAAAATATAGGTATTCATAAATATATGGTTGGTGTATCAAAATAGAATTTTCTTATTTTTCACTAAAATAAAGACTAACTGCCTTTTTTATAAAACAAATGACTTTTTCATTGTGTCATATATTATGAAACTATTTAAATTATTTAGCTGATTGTAAGAAACAAAATGTTGATTTGTAGATTAATACTGTAAAATTACTATTTGTACGGAAACGACGAAAATATATTCTTATGCTGCGACTAAAATAAATTATAAAATTCTGTTATGGAAACGGTACATTAAGTTTTAAAACTAATTTGCTAAAATAAAACTTTCCGATTAAACAAATCGGTATCGCAGGTACACCACTACCCCGCTACAGGTGGTAACATTATTTGAAAATTTGACATTTCAACCTGTCAATTTAGTCTTCGGGATTAAAAAACAAATATAACCAAGTATGGCACTTACAAACTCATTCCTAAGCTACTTGGTGTCCCTGTCGCCCCGCGCCCCGCATGTTTATGGGGGCTTGACCCCAGAGTGGGGGTCGGAGGGGGGGGGGGGGGGGGGAAAGGAAGAAGAAATGGATAGGAAAAAGAGGAAGAAGGAGAAAAGAACGGTGGTGGACCACGTCGTCGTACTGAATGAGCGACAGAACTAGGAACTCAGCAAGTCCCTGAGAGTCGCGCGTACTAAATAAAAAAACAGCATGAAAAAATAACTTCTATCCCCAAGTATGGCACAACGTGTAGTATTCTTAAAGTTAAGGCTTTGATCTAGCCACCCGGGGGTTGTTGTCCCCGGAGTAGATGCCGGGACAAAGGGGTCCCCGAGGCCCCTACCTTCACCTCCCTAGAGGGGTGCGGAAGACCATACACACTATAACCATTATCAGAAAAGTAGAAGTTTTAGTTCAAATGTCATTGTCATTTAGTTTTGCATAGTGATTTACTTTAGTTTTTATGTCATACTTTTGATAGATAGGTATTTGATAGATATTTTATAATTGCACCGATCCGATCTTCTTATCTTTATTCAAAATATATTGTTACATTTTTACTGCTTTCCTTTTTTTCCTTCAAGTAATTAGGTATTATAAATTAGGTACATTTGGTACATTAGGTTCAATATTCAGATTTACATTGCAATTTATAAATTATTTATGGGTTATTTTATTTAGTTAGTAACGTAGATAGTAGTTTTTTCCTAAAATAAATATTTTTAAGTTAGATTTTTCGTTTTTTAAATGCACACTATACATATAAATAAGATCGGAGTGTCTATTTGTAATCCTTACTAATACTAAAAATGCGAAAGTAATTTAATAATAACTCTGTCTGCCTGTCTCGATTTCACGGAAAAACTACTGAACAGATTAAATGAAATTTGGTACACAGATTGTTTAGACCCCTAGAAAGGACATGGCTACTTTTTAATGCGAAAAAAGAGTAGCAAGGGCTTGAAGCTAGACGCTTGAAATTTATTTTTGGGGCTGTTAATTAACTATAAATAAATATGATATTCAAAGTTTGTAAAAAATTACCCTTAAGGAGATAAAATAAAATAGGTGATGATAGTTTTTATGGAAATTCGTCATTTTTGAAGCTAGAACGATTACACTTTTTTCTTTATCTTCTTTGGTTTATTAAATATCTTACTAATATTATAAATGTGAAAGGAACTCTGTCTGTCTGTTTGTCTCGCTTACACCCCAAAACGACTGAACCGATTTAAATGAAATTTGGTACGTAATCCGTAGTCTAGACCCATAAATTATTTTATAATGTGAAAAAGGATTATAAGGTGGTTGAAAGAGAAGATGAAAGTTCAAAAAGTACATGCAAAGGTTAGAGTAAGGTAGAATGCGGCAAGGTTGTATGGAAGTCATTTTTAAGGCTAGAAGCTTCGAACGTATTTTTTAGGTTGTTGATGAAATATGACATTTAAATATTGTAAAATTTTCACCCTAAACGATGGTAAAATAAAATATCAGCTGAAACTTTTTATGGCAATTCATAATTTTTGAAGTTAGACTGATGGAAATCTTTTCTTTGGGTATTTTAGGTTAGTTTATTAAATAGCTTTTAATATTACAAATGTCAATGTCTGACTATCGCGCTTACACGCTAAAACTATTAAACCGATTCAAATGAAATTTGGGACACAGATAGACGAGACTGGGTAGTACATAGGTTAGGTACTTTTTAATATGAAAAAAGGTTGATGGGAGTTGGAAAGGTAGGTGCAAGGTTGTATGGATGTATCGTCATCTATACATATAAATAGAATTGAATATTGAAAATTTGCAATATTGAAATAATCGTTTTTTACTACATGCATATGAATATAAATACGAATTTTTAAATTGTTGTCTGTCTGTCTGTTTGTTCCGGCTAATCTCTGAAATGGCTGGGCCGATTTCAATGGGATATTTTTGGCAGGCATAATTAGTTAATTAGTAAATGTAATAAGTAGTAACTTAGGCCACTTTTATTTTAGAAATATTATTTTATTTTAGAAAAATAAAGTATAATTCAATGCGGATGAAGTCGCGGGTACAGCTAGTTAAGTATAAATATATAAATATGTAAAATAAATAATACATATAATATAAATAATATAATAATAAATAATAAAATAATTATATAAACATACAACAATGAGTAAGAGAAAGAGGCAACAATTTATAGCATTTCCATAAAATGAAACTTTTCGCAATTGGATATATAATTTTTGTAACTATGTGTGCTAATGTTTTTAATGTTTACATTCCATCTATTATTATTATTATAAACATAAAATATTACTTACTTTACAGGCCTTGTCTTCATCCACAATGGAAGACTTAATCCATCTTTAATCTCTGGGTCACTTGAAGCCATTTTGAAAATGTAAACACAATTTGGAGAATATTTGGATATGTTGGAATTTATATATAGTAGTAAAACAACTTACTCTCTATCAGCTAGAGTTGAGACTAAATCATTTATCATGAGCAGAAAAGATAAGATTCTTAGGGTATATACAGACAAGTTAAGATCAAAAGTAAAGTAATAAATGAATTATATATATATATATATAGGAATAAAGTTGTGCACTCAGGACACTGTTTGGGATTGTCCCGACTTTAGACAAAGCTGATTTGATGAACCCATCTGGAACAACAATTTATGATTTTAGTACTCATAAAGACATAAACTATTTCTAAACTAAATTAAGTGGTTATTGATAGATTTTACATCAAATACAGTATTAAAATGTGTAATGATACCACCACTAGTCTTGTAGGGTAGACAGAGAGAATCAAGAACTCACATACTATTATGCTTACAAACTTCAACAGCTTTATACAATTTCATACATTATCCTTCTATATCCTTCTTTCAGAAAAGGCTTCTATGTATATAGAAGCCTTTTCTGAAAGATAATTCTTATACTTATGAAGAACTCTTATATAAATAAGCTTCTAGTTCTGTAGTGAAAGAAATCAATATGTCACTACTTCATATATCCCCAGAATTTAAAAAGCAATTAATTGAATGAAATATAAATTATACATTGAAGCAAGTGAGAGATATACTACAAAACTCTATACAAAGGCAAATATATCTGTAAATGACGATTAAAATAATCATCAAATTAATATAAAAATTGTTATAAATTCATACCGTCTGTGATTTACTGCCACCGTAATTAATCAATATGTACCTAGACAATGTCCCAAGCATTTGATTAAATCGTCGTAGTCGCCGCCTGACTACAAATATAATATTAAATATTTTCAGTTAGATTTGTTGTATCGTTTTTTGTTATTATGATAATGTACTAGTGATCTCCCCTGCGCTGATAGGGCACTAGCGAAGAGTGAAATAATTTCACTTATCCCATCGTGGCGAAATCACAGGGAATTAATCAATATCAATTAATATTTTCCAGGAAAAACCACGTGGAGATCAATGTGATGGGTAAGACCGTCAACAATAGAGATAATGTTCCCAATGATTATCAACTGTGAAATATGTTAGTATTATAAAGTACATAATTATGGCAGGACCTACGAATAATATGGAAAAATAACGCAAACAATATAATGTTATTATGCATAAAATACTAATATAAAACTTACAGCAATAATCAAAATATTTGAGACACAAAAATTAAACATTTTAATAAACAGAATAACTAAAGAAAAGTTTTAGTTACGTAGAATCAACATAGACTGTGTAAACTAAAGATACTGTAAGTAGTAGTGGTATATTTTATCCACAAGTGGATAGGCAAAGGTACGAGACCATACAGCCTAATCTTCAGTAGTATTTCCATGAAAATTCAAAAATTCTTCAAGGCGATATCGCCAAATCTTTTCATTAATTATAAGTTTGTGTTAAGTCCATGTATGTGTCCATAATTGAAATGTTTATAATTCTCCGATTGTTGCTATGATGAAGTCGTAAATTGGTTTAAAAGTTGCAGTGCATTTGAATAATTCTTGAAGCGATGGCGGAATAATCTTATATAGTTCTTGAAGCTTAGCAATGAGCAAAATTCTGTTTAAATTGAAGGCCGGGCAATCAAAAAATATATGTTCTAATGTTTGATTTTCGTTACTAGAGCATAAAAGACAAATCGGAGAATTAATGATCTTCATTCGGTGTAAATGTGCATTGAATTTACAATGTCCAAATCGTAGTCGACAAATTTGAGTATAAAATCTTCTCTCTAAAAATATTTTTCCCTGAATGAACCAGGGTTTTTTGCCAACAGTACTGTTTATCCCTGCATACCAAGTACCTTTATCTTTGGTAGTACGTTTCCAATCTTCTTCCCAATTTTTTAATAAGTTTTTTTAATTTCAAGAATTAAATCTTGCCAAGGTAAGAAAATTTTTTTAGACTCACCACCCAATCTGTTGACAGTTTTGACAAGGTAATCTACTTCTTCATTACCTGTCACACCTTTGTGTGCCGGTGTCCAAGTAAATATAATTTCTTTTCCTTTATTAAACAAAACAGTCCATAGTTCTTTAATTTGGTAAATAATATAGCTTGTTTTGGCACTAAATGAATGATTTTGCAACGCTGATAAGACTGACATGCTGTCACTAATGATAAGCCACTGATTATGAGGTTTAGCGCATATGTCTTCGTTAATATAATGCAAAGCTTGCAAAATAGCCAAGGCTTCGGCAGTGAATATACTAGTAATGGTAGGTAATCGAAATCCATAACCAGTTTTTATGTCGCTATGGTAAAAACCTAATGACACACCTTGGTCATTTTTTGAACCATCTGTATATATTGTGTTAAATGAAGGCCATTGAGAAAGATGTTCATAAACTTCTTCTTTACATTTTAAGTTCTTATCTGTTTCTATTGTCATATTGCAAAATTTACTGTCATATGTCCCTTCATAACATGCCCACTTATTATTTGCCACATGAATATTATTTTGCTCAATTATAGATTTCATTGCAGAGAAATCAAGGAGAATGTATGGAAATTTTATGGAATTAGAAGAAGAAGCAATGGTTTGAGAATCTGTAATTTTTTGTAACAGTGAATTATTGGAAAAGCTATGTAATTTTAGCAAGAATTTAAATTTAAGAAATTTGAATCTTAATGACAGTGGTGGAATGTTGCATTCTACTTGGAGAGAGACTATTGGAGTTGTTTTCATTGCACCAGTGATTAGACGCAAATTATTATTTTGGATTGTCTCTAATTTTTTTAAGAGTGTGGGGTTGGAAGCAAAGCAAAGGTAACTGTACTCAAAGTGAGAACGGACTATGGATTTGTACAACATAAGTAAAATCTTTGGATCAGCCCCCAAAATGTTTTGGAAAGGCATTTTAAAATATTAAAAGCTCTAGAAGCTTTATCAGATATATTACAGACATGCTTATTCCAAGATAGATTTTTTGTTAATGTTACACCAAGAAACTTGGCTTCAGCTACTACAGGCAGTATGCTACCATTATAATTAATATTAGCATGCAAAGTTCTTGATCTACTGAATATAACAACTTTAGTTTTATCTAAACTAATATCTAATTGTAAATATTTAAAATAAACATTTAATTTCTTTAGAGCTTTGTTTATTTTATTTTCTACTATATGAATATTTGAGCCTGAACAGTAAACTGCTAAATCATCAGCAAACTGTAAATTGCTGACTTCATTACCAAGAATAATATTAATTTTATGAATATACAAAATAAATAACAGTGGACTCAATATTCCCCCTTGACATACACCTATATATGAAGATTGTGGACCATATAAATTATTATTGTACTTAACATAGACTTGTCTATTATGTAGGAAATTAAAAATCCAGTTAATCAACTTATCTGGTATTCCTAGTGTTTGCAGTTCATTAGTTAGAATATGATGATTAACATTGTTAAAAGCACCAACTATATCAAAGAAGACAGAAACCAGTATATTGTTACTAGAAAAAGCACGATGAATATCTAGGTTTAAATGATTTAAGCTCTCTGTAGCTGAAAAACCTTTCCTGAAGCCAAACTGATTTGAAGGTAATAACTTATTTGATTCTATATAAAATTCTAACCTTTGTTTAATCATTTGTTCGAAAAGTTTACTCATACAAGATGTTAATGCTATAGGTCTATAGGAGTCTGAATGATTTATCAATTTGCCTGGTTTAAGAATAGGAATCAGACAATCTGTTTTCCAATCGGGTGGTATTTCTGAAGTATTCCAAAGAGAGTTAAGTAACATTAACAAAGTGTTTTTAGAATTGGATGACAATGTCTTTAACATTTTGTAAGAGATATTGTCAAGACCGAAAGCTGTGTTACGTCTGCTGTTTAAGGCACTGTAAAATTCTGTTATAGTAAAAGGGTTTATAATGAAGCTGTTATTATTATTTAATGATACCTGTATATTGGGTCTACTTTTGGCTGACGGTTTGGATGTAAATTTACTTAAGAAAGGAGAAATCCAATCAGTGTCTGAAGATATAAGTGAACAGTTGTTATTAAATGTTTTATTAAATTTTTTCATTTTATTCCAGATAACTGATAGAGGAGTTTGCCGATTGATCGACTCACAGAATTTTAACCAACTGGCATTTCTTTCGTTTTTGAGAGTAAGTTTTTTGATTGCCTGTTGTCTTTTAAATCTTATGTAATTTTCTTGATTGGGATTATTTTTAAAATCTATGTAAGTTTTCTTACATAATTCTATTGCTTGAGAACAAGTATTGTTCCACCATGGCAAAGAAAGTCTTGTCTTGTGATTACAGACTAAAGAATGTTTTAAATTTCCATGTGAATTATTAGCTGTGTTAATGCTTTCTATTAAAATATTGCACATTTGTTTATAGGAGTCTAAAGGGGTGGAAGGATCGTAATTAAATTCATTACATAATTTATTATCAACAGTCTCTTGGTATACAAGCCAGTTTACATTATTGTAATTTGGCCTAAAAAAATTACTATGATTAATGGAAATGTTATTTGTATTTACAGTGTTACATAAAAGGTGGGTGATGGTTGGAAGATGATAGCTCCCTAAAGGATTATCATGTACAGACCAATTGCATCGGAGTGACAGAGAGGCAGAAACAATTGTAAGATCCAGAGCACTTGGACTCCATATATCAGAGCCTACAGTAGTGGGTTGACCATTATTAATTATACAAAGATCATTGTCTTCAATAGTATTAAGAAGAATAGTGCCTCTAGAATCGGTTCTAGAGCAACCCCAAGTGGTATTGTGGGCGTTAAAGTCACCCGCTATTATCATAGGTGACGGGATAGATTTAAATAAGTTATCTAAATGTAAATGTGTAAAGTTACGTGACGTTGCGGATGTAGGGCTGTAAAAACTAACAAAAGAAATTGTTTCATTTTTCAAATATAATTTTAAAGCGATATTTTGCAAAGAATCATCGTGATATGTATTTAATCTGTCATAATTCAATTTGTTTTGTATTAGAATGGCTACACCATTATGATTATTACCAATGTCTAATCTTTCTATATTGTAACCTTTGATATTAAAGTTTTTGAAAGGCTTTAGCCAAGTTTCAGAAAGAAGGGCGATATGTATATTGTTGTTATATAAAAAATAAGTAAAAGCAAGTCTATTATTTATCAAGCTCTGGGCATTCCACTCGATAATATTTAAAATATTATCCATTAAAGAGATACTATTAATTAGTGTTAGTACTGGAAATCTTAAAAGTATCTAAAATTATGTTTTTTATGCCTTCTGAGTTTAAGGGAGAGTCATCTGTTTTATTAACAGAAATAATTTTAATAACTGATGCATTGATTAGTTTTAAAAAGTCATCATTTTGCAATAATGTGTTAATATTGTCAGTAGGTTTAGTTTTAGTGTTTAAAGATGGAAAAGATTTTTCATTAAATAAACTAGAGAAAGGAACAGTCTTGTGTTTTATTTTGTTTTCTTGTATTTTCTTCTTTTTAATTGGGCATTCAGCTGAGATAGCTATATGGTTACCATTACAGTGAAGACATACAGCTTCTGTGCTATTTTTAGTGCAATCTTTAAAATGATGGTTTTCTCCACATATTGAGCAACGTTGAGTATTTTTGCAAAATTTACCAATGTGGCCATATCTCAGGCACTTTAAACATTGTGTTACTGGTGGGGTGTAAGCGCTTACCTCGAAATACCATGAGTTGATATCGACATTCGTAGGGAGTGTGGGACAGGCAAAGGTAATGGCGACTGATTGGGTGGGCAGAAAACTTGTGTTACCATCTTCATCACGACTTCTTCGCATAAACCGGCGCACCGAGACGACGTCTCTGGAGCTGGAAATACCATTGTAAATACGTTTGTTTGACATGTATATAGGTACGTTTTTTATCCTGTTATTTCTGTTAATGTTGCAGGTATTGTGGCTTTAACATGTAAATCTTTTTGTACTTTGGTGTTATTTAATGCTATGTTGGCTAAACCTGGCCTTTCAAAAATGGCTCCAACTTTATATTTATTAATTCTCTTGAAACGTTTTATACCCTTGCTTTGGCGCTTAAGACAGGCGCCAAGGGACATAAGGTCTCTGTCGCCTAAAGGCCTCGTATCGGTACTTTCATAAATAACTATATATTCAAAATTTCCTCCATCCTCAGGATATTGGCGACAGTAATTATCGATTTTAAAAACTTTATACTTATCCTCATCCATTGAGGAGTCAGAATCTGGACTGTCGACATCCCTCGAATTTTCTGGGGAGCAATTATCATCGGCTTTGCGCTTTTTGCGCTTACTTCCCATTTTAGGACTGTAATTAACTACAAATTATGTTAGTTGTACCTATATATACAAATTATTGAATATAAATAAAATATAAAATAAAGGAAAAATATTTAAAACACCCGCTCTATTTGACTTCCCGCCAAAAAGTCCGATACTGTAAGACACAGGTCTTAAAAATAGGGTGTCACAAAATGACATTATGTCAGTAATCCACAGAACACAAATATGAGTGGGTGGTGATTATTTAAAACCGGCTTTTAAAAACTAGTTTAATATTTTAATATCTTTTATCTTTTTCTATACAATTTCAATATAGAAAAGTTTAGTATATTGTTACAAGTAACAAAATATTAAACACCAACAACATTGAAGAAACAAGTTTATGTTATTACAACATATCGGCATTTTGTATATTTTACCGATATTCATATGCATACCCGTACAAAATTTAAATTCTCTTGACCTTTTATTTTAGTGTAGAAAAATCTGTCAGAGATTATCGGTTGGATAAGTAGAGACGAGGACGAAGGAGCCAAGGTAAGGTAGAGATTGTAGATTTTTTATCAACAAAAAATAGTCGCAACCACATCGAGACAAGGATATATTTCTTTGTCAAATAAGTTGACATTCATTGTCGCAAAATTCACAGAGTAAAACATTTTTTTTCTATAATATATAATCAAATGTCAAATCGCCCAGGTTGTCAAGTAGAAAATATGTAAAATTTTAAATTAATATTATTTATTTACCGGTACTTATAATTCTTAATAAAAATAATTTACTGCACAATTTAATTATTTTTGCAATTTTTAAATTATTTCTACGATGCCTAACGAAGAGCCATCTGACTTAGATTGGGTGCAATTGCGCCGAGAAATGGGCAATGTTACTCAACACGCTGAAACTACTAAAGAAAAGTTTACTCGAAAGTTTGCTGAAAATCCTTTTGTACCTGTAGGTAAGAATATGTATAATGAATTATAATAACATATAGATATTAAAATGTCTTGCGCATTATGTTATGTTAGGATATATTCTTGATATTTTTCTAATGCTTAGACTTTATACCAACGCTAGCTATGCTGGTAAGATTATAATATTTAAGCTACTATTTGTGTTAATGCCTTCCGCCGAAATATTTAATCAAGCTAATTAGAGCAGTACACTAGCAGAAAGCATTATTGAGGTCTGTGTGTTAATTACATAAAATTATTAAAAAAAATTATTCAGACTTGTATGAAAAAGTCTCAATAATATAGAAATTATATGATACTTATGCTGATTAAATATTATTATTTCAGGTTGCCTTGCCACAGTAGGAGCACTATCATATGGACTATGGAGTTTTAAATCGGGTAAAACAAAAGTGTCACAGCAAATGATGAGACTCAGAATTGTAGCACAAGGTTTCACAGTCGCTGCTCTTGTTATAGGGGTTATGATGACAGCCGGCAAAAATTTCAAATGATTGTAAATTTTCTTATTTGCAAAAGCATTTGTATAAAGTTAGATATGCTATACATACAATACTGTATTATCAAATAGATTAGTTAAATATTCTATTATTACTCTTAGGTAAAGACAGAGGTAAAGTTGGCATTATATTTTTCTACTGCTGAAAAATGTCTTGTTTTATCTAACATATATAAAATTGTATAGTACATACATACAAAGTCAAATACATTTTTTTAGTTAAAATAGTTAATTTTATTATATGTACATTATTAGGATTAGTATTAAGTAAATTTATATAAATTTTCATATGTTTCACTATGATTATCTGTAAACCTAATTAATACTTAACCAAATATGTATTATATTGTAGTCATGCCATTTAATATTAGTCTAATATAAATTGACTGTTATTTTATTGTTACAATTTTCTTTCCTCTTTAATTGCATCTATTACAAATTATGAAAGTTATACAAACTTTTTCCTTTCTTTATATTATACAAGACCAAATTGCATTAAAGGCTTTTGGGTATTAATAACTTATAAGTGTTAAGGTTGAATAGCGCTAGTATAAAGTCTATGACTAGAGTGGTTACTAGGCCTACCCTCCTTGTTTATTGTCACTCTCAAAAAAAACTGAAAAATTGTATGTCATATACATATTCCATAAATTGTAAATAATAGTGTCTAAAGTGTTCGTGTCGTGTTGTGTAACTACTCGCCTGATCCCTTCCAGTGTGTATCTGCTTCCGTCTCCACCGCTTACGATATTTGGATATCTGGTAAGCCACTCTAGTTATATTAGGTTTTGGGCCCCACCGGAAGAAAAGAAAGGTTTATACCATGGATTTCTCTACAAAAATAGGTATCGGGAAACTTGTGGGTAGGGAAAACTGGTCTATATGGAAATATCAAATTTCTATTATGCTAGAAGGTACGGTAGGTGCCTTAGATGCAGTAGAAGGAAAACTCCAAAAACCAGTTCTAACTGCAGAAGCAGATGATGCTGCAAAAAGCGACTATAACGATGCTATGGCTTTGTATAGGAGGACTCAGAGCGGCGCTCTGCTAATGCTCACTACAAACATAAACGAAGATACATTAAAAAAGATTATGCATTATAGAACTGCACACGAAGTTTGGCAAGAGCTACATAGACTCTTTGATGGACAAACTGAGGACAGGGCATACAATTTGTGTCTCAAGTTTTTTGGATTTAGTCGCAGTAAGGAGGATGATATACCTACTCTAATTGCAAAATTAAAAAACATGGAATGACTTAAAAGTCGAAAATTTAAAAATTGACACAACTGCCATACTCCCTGAATTGTTCCTGATTTGTAAAGTTTTAAATACGCTCGATGAACGGTATTTTAACTTTAAGTCAAGTTGGCTAATGCTGAAACAGTCTGCAAAGACAATAGAAAGTTTGACGAGTAACCTCTGCTCCTTTGAAACAGACTAGTAATAGAAATAGAAATAATCTTTATTCAAATAAACTCATTACAAGCACTTTTGAATAGTCATATTTTGATTCTACCACTCATTCGGAATGCAGATTCATCACAAGAAGAATGAGCAAGAAACTTGTGTGTTGCTCTTTTTAATAGATGTTTTTTTTTTATATAAATAATTACAGTGTAACAAGTAAGAGGCATGCGACAATCAACATAGAAATCGCTACGCACTCATTATTAGTGTAATCAGATAATATTGTCAGTGCTAGGAATTTAAAATTTTTCTACAAAAACATTATTATCGTTAACGAATTCTTCAATTTTATAGTAAGCTTTTTTGCAAAGGAAGTGTTTTATTTGACATTTAAATCTTTTTTCTGGCAGATTTATAACAGACTCTGGTATTTTATTGTAAAACCTTACGCAATTACCATAAAACGAATTACTAACTTTAGCCAAACGACATTTAGGTAAAATCAGTTTGTTATTGTTACGTAAGCTTTTATTAGTGCAATCACTAACTCTTTTGTCTATATTCTTCCTGGCATACATGATATTTACATAAATATATTGAGAAGCAACGGTGAGGATATTTGATTCCTTAAAGCACTCTCGCAAAGACTCCCTGGAACCCATGCTATAAATGGAGCGAATGGCCCTCTTTTGTAAAATAAATATTGTATTTATATCAGCTGCTTTGCCCCATAACAAAATACCATACGACATAATGCTATGGAAATAGCTAAAGTACACTAGTTTAGCCGTTGCCACGTCTGTTAATTGTTTAATTCTTCTTACCGCATAAGCGGCGGAACTAAGTCGACTCGCTAATTTAGTAATATGAGCGCCCCATTGCAACTTGGAATCTAATGTGATACCTAGAAATACAGTATCATCCACAAAATTAATAGGTTTATTGTCCAACGTGATTTTTGAATCTACCGGCCTTACATTGGGGAGAGTAAATTTGATACATTTAGTTTTATTTGCATTTAGTAACATGTTATTAGCCGTAAACCATTTTAAAACATAAGAAAGAGCACCGTTTACTTCGTCCAAATCATCAATATGTCGATTGACTTTGAATACTAATGAAGTATCATCAGCAAACAGAACTATGTCAGCTATCTTTTCTACCATATAAGGAAGATCATTTATGTAAACTAAAAATAAGAAAGGACCTAAAATAGAGCCCTGAGGAACACCCATTTTAATACTAGTTCCCTCAGACTTTACACCATTTATTTCGACAACTTGCATTCTATTATTTAGATAGGATTTCATCATGCTTTGTGCTTCATATCTAATACCGTAATGTTCAAGTTTGAGCAAAAGTGTTTCATGTTCAACGCAATCAAATGCTTTTGAAAGATCACAAAATACACCTACTGCATCCTGAGACCTCTCCCAAGAATCAAATATATATTTAATGAGAGCTACACCGGCATCAGTAGTTGATTTACCGGCCGTGAAACCAAATTGTCGACTGTGAAGCAGTTTATTTACTTTAAAGTGTTGCAGCATTTGATTGAGCATAATTTTTTCAAACACCTTACTCAATACTGGTAAGATAGATTTAGGCTGTCAAGAGAGCTCACGTCAAGAGGCACTAGTGACTACGCCTGTTGAGCGAAAAGTTAAACAGAAGACAGACGAACAGCTGATCTGCAACTATTGTTCTGGGAAAGGACATAGAGTTCGCAAGTGTAAGAAGTGGATTAAGGATGGAAGGCCACCAAAACCAACTTCAAACACGTCAGCGTCTGGTTCCAAGTCTAAGCAAGTACAACATATTTCGCTAATGGTAGATGCCTGCACAAAAAGTCAGTTTCAAGACCGAAATGGTTGGTATGTTGACAGTGGAGCTACAACACACATTGCAGTGAAGAAAGATATTTACACTAGTTTTCAAAACTTTGATTCAGACCACACAATATCAACGGCAGATGGTACTACCATACCTGCATTGGGAATGGGTACTATTGAGGTAGAGTCAAATGTTAACGGAACAATAAGGCAAATAACTCTGAATGATGTGTGGTTAGTACCATCACTGACAAAGAATTTATTTTCAACTTTAGCAGCACAAGATAGGTTGCAGAATAGTACATTCACGTCAACAACTAAGGAATACAACTTAGATATTGAAGGCATAACTAGAGTTGTAGGACGTAGAGTTCCATATGGCGGTTTATACAAGTTGGACATGAAGACCATCATGCCGTCAAAGTATAATTCGACAATAGAGATAAATGCTGTAACTGACTCCAATATGCTACAATTGTACCATGAACGCTTTGCTCACCAGGATAAGAGACATGTCATGCGCGTATTAAAGCGTGAGTTAGGCATACACTTGAGTCCGGATAAAGTTAAATGTGAAGGATGCATTTATGGGAAGTCACATCGGAAACCCTTTGGAACAAGGGAAAGAGCAACAACAGTTGGTGAACTTATACACACTGACATTTGCGGTCCATTTACAACTGAAATTATCTCAAAATATAAGTACTTTGTATTATTTAAAGATGATTTTTCAAGTTAACGTTTTGTATATTTTATCAAAGCGAAGTCAGAAGTAAAGGAAAAGCTTTTGCAAATGCTTGAAGAAAGTAGAAATGCTGGGCATACTATTAAGACTTTACTAAGTGACAATGGCGGAGAATTTGATAATAAAGATATGCGAAAGATATTACAGAGATACGGCGTACAACAGCGGCTGACTATGCCTTACACGCCGGAACAAAACGGCTGTAGTGAGCGAGAGAATCGTACTCTAGTAGAAGCTGCGAGATCAATGATGTATACTAGAAAACAAATGCCGCAAATACTATGGGCTGAGTTAATCAACACTGCTACCTATGTACTCAATAGGACAGGTCCCACTAGAGCGGAAGGCAAAGTACCTTATGAGCTATGGCATGGAAAAAAGCCCAAGATAACTCACCTAAAAATAATTGGTAGCGATTGTTATGCGCACATTCCAAAACAAAATCGCAAGAAAATGGATAAGAAAGCTATTAAAGGCATTCTTATAGGCTACGAAAATGATGACGGATATCGTGTCTATGATGGAAAGAAGACAATAAGGTCAAGAGACATTACTTTTGAGAGCGATGTTGAATTCAAAAGTATATCGTTTAAATAGAAGCCTCTATGGCCTTAAACAAGCACCGCGCTGTTGGAACTCTTGCTTTGAAGAGGTTCTAATAGAGAAGGGTTTCATACAGAATAGTACCGATTGTTGTCTTTTCACAAAGAAAGTGAAAAACAAGAAAATATTAATAACTTTGTATGTAGACGATGGCCTTGTCGCCACTACAGACAAAGACCTGGCGGACCAATACCTTAAAGAATTAGGGCAGACGCTAAAAATAACAAGCAAAGCAGCAAGCTACTATCTGGGTTTGGAAATTGCAAGGTTGAAAGATGGTTCAGTATTTATCAATCAGGAATGTTATGCTACGAAGATTTTAGATAGGTTCCGGATGTCTGAATGCAACCCAATCTCAACACCTATCGATAGGACTTCTGAAACAGGGAAAGTTGGAGACCCTGAAGAGAAAAAGTTCCCATATCGAGAAGCTGTAGGTGCACTTGCATATCTAATGACAGGCACACGCCCTGATATAGCGTATGCAGTTGGGCTAGTTTCGAGAAAATTAGAGAATCCAACTGAAGCTGATTGGCAAAGAGTGAAACGGATATTTAGATATTTGAAAGGAACAATATCCTATGGCATAAAATATCATGGAAATGCCAAAGCCATAGTACAAGGCTATAGTGATGCAGATCATGGAGGTGATGACCTCACAGGACGCTCTACTACAGGAGTCACCTGTTTATTTGCCGGAGGTGCTGTTTCGTGGCTCAGTCAAAGACAAGCATCAGTTGCGATATCTACTACTGAGGCAGAGATTGTTGCAGCGAGCGAAGGCGCACGCGAGCTTGTGTGGATACAAAGAATATTTGACCAGCTTACAAATATGGAAGGCATACCCACACTACAAGTCGATAACGAAGCGGCTATACGTCTTGCAAATAATCCCGAGTTTCATAAGCGGACGAAACATATCCGCATAAGACACTTCTTTGTTCGAGAGACAGTGCAAGGTCTAGTAGATATACAGAAGACAAGTTCTACTGACCAACTAGCTGATTTTTTGACTAAGGCAGTTCCTAGATCAAGACTCGAGAAGATTCGAGCTAACTTGGGGCTGCTAGACATTTCTAACTAGCGAGGGAAAGTGTTAAGGTTGAATAGCGCTAGTATAAAGTCTATGACTAGAGTGGTTACTAGGGCTACCCTCCTTGTTTATTGTCACTCTCAAAAAAAACTGAAAAAGTGTATGTCATATACGTATTCCATAAATTGTAAATAATAGTGTCTAGTGTTCGTGTCGTGTTTTGTACCTACTCGCCTGATCCCTTCCAGTGTGTAATACCCGTATCTGCTTCCGTCTCCACCGCTTACGATATTTGGATATCTGGTAAGCCACTCTAGTTATATTAATAAGACACACTAATCAGAGAAAATATGGATATAAAATTATTACTAACCATTTGAACTTCTAAAATCAAGAAAATCTATGGTATTTCAAAATACTGTTTAACAAACCCAGGTAAAATCCACAACGCCATCTAGTTTCTGACTAGCAACCTAAAATCTTAATAATGTAAATGCGAAAATTTGTAGGTGTTATTATTTATTTAGTCTTTCACGTAAAACTACTGAACGAATTTTTTCATGTAATTAGCTAAGTTCCTGACCAGTATCGTATTTACGGCCAATAAAACGTGAAGCAATGCCTATAGAATTTGCAACACCAGCTATAATTTAAATTTTATAGTTCCAAATGTTGTGAGGGGTAAAAATATTTTATGATAAGCTCCAAAGGGTCTAGTAGCAAGAGCCTTAGAAATAGGAAATAATTTCTTATTTATGAAGATGTAGCGAATTTTGTATTAGACTGACATATTTTA